ATACAATAGGGACACCTCGGGCAATTCGTTCGAAGCCAACAAGAATCCTCACCTCGACCTCAAGGGCTAGTGGAGAGACATATTGATGTTATCATTAGTAGACCTATCTCGAGAGAAGATAACTTTTTCAATTGTAAGGCTTATGCTCGAGCTACTATTGAAAAGTACTCAGAACGGAGAATAACCTAGATATAACCTTCGATGAGAAATAAATGGAGTACCTTGACCCAAATCATGATAATGTCTTAGTAGTTTTTGTGAGGATGGTCAACGCTCGAGTGAAAAAGGGTCATGATTAACATATGTAGCTCTACTAATATCTTCTACTTTGATGCGTTTTCAAAAACTCAAACTGTCAATAAACAACCTTACCCCTATGACTTATATGTTGATGAGGTTCACTAGTGACTCTATCTTGCTTTGTTGGACTGTGAACCTACACATCATATTCAAAGACGAGCATTGCTCCAAAATAATACTTGTTAAATTCATGATGGTGGATATCCCCTTGGCATACAATGTGATTATAGGCTAATCCACACTAAATAAACCAAGAGAGATGATGTCAACCTATCATATGGTGAAAATTTCCTAACGAGGGCCAATATTGGATAATTGAGAAGCAATCCAAGGGAGTTGCATTAGTGTTAACTAATGATGGTCCAATCTAAGGCACCACTTATGGACCCAAGAGACTTCGCTAAGTCCATCATCCATCGTAAGCCAGTAAAATTATTGATTGAAGCATATATAAATAAACCAATAGAACTGTTGATTAAAGCACTTATAGATAAGGCCCAAAGGGTTTCATATGAATCTAAGAGTGTCAAGAGGCCTTTGAAAAATTGAAAGACCACCTCGCCTAGTTGCGTATCTCACTTCCTCTACCTCGGGCAAAACTCTAAGCTTTTACCTCGCTACTATCAACCTAGTTGTCAGCTTGATGTTGGTACAAGATGATATAGGAGTTCAAAAGCACATCTATTATGTTCGTTATATTTTGAGTATACCTAAAAAGCGATACCCTCCCTTTCGAGAGGCTCACATTTGCACTAATCTTGGTGACAAGGAAGCATAACCCCTATTTTTAATTGCATATTGTATATGTGATCATTGACTAATTACTTAGACAGGTTCTCTCTCAGTTTATATCTCAAGTCGGTTGTTAAGATAGTTAACAGAGCTGAGTGAGTTCAATATCCAATACATTTCAAATGCTGCGTAGGCACCAGTGGACTTTATTACAAAACTAACTACTCCTTCGCCCAAGGTTAATAAGCACACCCCACCCGCATGAACACCATTTGTGGATAGTTCTATCACCTTGGATTTAGGCAATGTTAGACTTGTCCAAAAAAGCCTGAACAAACAAATGTTTGAATAAGTTCTCTGGTTTGAGTTCAAATTATCTAATAATGAAGCCAAGTATGATGCACTTCTCTTGGGGCTTCAACTCATTTAAGAGCATCAAGTCCAGGACCTGATGATGTTCAATAACTCATAGCTAGTCATGAACCAAGTAAAGTGGAACTGTGAGACCCGAGATGCAACCATGGCAGAGTACCTCACTGAGATGTCGATGGTGTTGAGTCCAGCCCATATGTGGGCTTGGACAATTGGGCCTATTGAGCCCAAATCAACAAAGGAAGGAAATTAAAAAGAGGAGAGAGAAGGTGAAAAAAAAGATCAAATTACAGCGTGCAGCGTGCGATGTGCAGAGGAAAGAGGAAAGAGGAAAGAGGAGAGAGAAATAGAGAGAGAAAGTAAGGTTACTAAGTTTTCTGTTTGACGATCGGTGGCCAAACGTTGTCAGTTTTGGCCCAAATTTTATGTGGAGAATCCTTGCAACAAACTCTACAATCTTAACGGTATTGATATCCACTTTGTGAGATCTATAATTATCTTTTGAGGAGATCAATCTGTATGCTAGAGCCAAGATCTATGTTCTTGATGTTATTCTGATCCTCTAGTTATTCTAGAGAAGACCTACTGTAAACCTGTTATCATTATTATTGATAGTGGAAGTTTGAGGTGGACTACGGTCCCGTGATTTTTCTCACATTGGGTTTTCCACGTTAAAAAGATTTGGTCTCACTGTGTGATTGATTTTTGCTCTATTGTTTATGCTATGTTGGTTGATATTTTATTTGGATATCAAGTTGGTATTTTGATGAGGAACCTATTTTGATACACAAAGAGGGAAAGAATTATTCTGCTTTAACAGGTTTTTCCCAACAGATGGAACACTATTGATGGACCCCATATCGACTCAGAGAGTTAAGCATCATCAAGCATAGTATTACATAATTAATGATTGCTTATGTCATAAATTGTTTAGTCGATCATTTCTCAAATGTCTAACACGTCAAGAAGCCAAGAGGGTGTTGGTTGAGATGCATGAGAGTATTTACACGGAGCATATTGGTATATGAACTCATCTTCATGGTACTTCAATAAGAGTTCTACTAGTCGACACTATGCAAGGACATAATAGCCTATACCCAAAAATATGATATGTGCAAAAGATTTATGTAGATACAACATCAACTAATAGTCCCTTTTAAGTCCAATCGATTACAAATGTTCACCCACTAGGGTAGGAACATCCTCAGACCTTATCCATAAGCTTTAGGCCAGTGATGATTTCTCATCATTGGAGCCGACTATTTTATAAAGTGGATATAGGTTGAACTATTAGCATCGATTATTGAGAAGCAGGTTAAGGGATTTTTATGGAAGAATATAATCATCCACTTCGGAATCTCGAGAGTCATTATCACCAACAATAGAACCCAATTTAATAATGTGAAGTTCGAGGGGTTCTATCAATCCTATAGAGTTCAACTAAAGTTTAGCTTGGTAGCTCATCCTAAAACCAATGGTTTCACCATGGTCACCAACCAAGTCATTCTTAAGGGGTTAAAAATGTAGGTCATTAGAGCAAAGGTACTTAGATAAATAAGCTATCAAGTATCTTGTTGGCCTTCCAAAAGACACCTAAGATTGGGTCAGAAGAATCACTATTCATATTAGTCTTCAATATTGAGGCTATATAACTACCTAAGATAGTCTTTCCAACACCTTGGCTTGAAAATTTTGATGAAAAAATATTCAAAGAAGGATTTCAGGTTAGACTCAACCTAATCAGTAAGGTTAGAGCAGAAGCACATAGTGTTGGGAAAATCTTTGGGGGCGACATTACATGCGTAGCGGAAGAACAAGAAAATAAAATCCCCGATTCCTAAAGAGATGTTCGTTGTCGTGCGAAGATTGGTGCGTAAAATCCGTGAAACTGAAAACTGCGTATAGAGTAGATTGTATTACCTAGGGAGATCGTATATCCCTGTTTCCTTACAGATCTTTAGGAGAGGGTGAAGGAGGTTAAGCGTCCTCCTCTCTAGCGGTGATCCACACAGCAAGGCTACGACGACGCTCCTCAAAACTCCAGGCCTACTCTGAGATGGAGAGGGGGAGGAGAATAGGAGAGGCAAGCAAATACTCTAGCCTATGAGGCTCTGAATCCCTCCTATTTATAAAGGTCCCATGTCAAACCCTAATGGATCCTCCCCTAGTAGGTATTGGATCTGCATCCAATAACCCAAGCCTTTTAGATTAGTGGATCTCTATCCAATAATCTTTAATAGGCTCTTATTGGATCTCGTCCATGGGATCCAATAATTCAGGGGCTTATTGGATATTCAATAAGACAAGGGCTCCGTCGGATATCTCATATCCGAACCTCTACACATCGTAATGCCTAACATATGTGTGTGACCCTCTAGGCCCAATATCGAGCTGGACATGAGTCATACCTGTCAGAACTCCTTCTAACTCAGTGAATTATTATCTCTGTAATAATTCACTCGACTCATCGACTACGGACGTACTAGGCCACTACGCCGTAGTCCCCAGACGATACAGAAGAATCCAATCCATTGGACATATTTGTCCTCAATTACCGTGTACCTATAGTCTCTCATCCATATAATATCCCAGAGACCGTATATCGAGCATGGTGCTGTCAGACCCATACGGTTTCTACTCGAGTCTCGCTCTAATCGATTTCTCCCGGAGAACTCTTTCTCTCTCAACCTGAATGACCCTGGCCAGGGATTTGTCTGAGCAAGAACACATGGAATATTCCTCTTATGACGCCGAGAGTGGATGATCCTTTATCGACACTCAATAGCCCTCGTAAGGTCGACTACCACTCATAATGACTAGTTACACTAGATCTGACCCTTATGTTCACGTGAATAAAAGGTCATATGAAGGTTATTAGGGGAGATTAGAGACTGTCTCCTCGTAGAATATTTTATGAAATATTTTGTCCATTTACAATTAGTATAAAGATTCACATTCAATATAATAAAAAGGGAGATTACTTTTTGACTAATTGCGTCTACACTTATCTATCTTGGGTTATTAATTTGGGCATCAAAGGGATCAAGTCGAAAAATCCCTCTTAACCTTAATTTTTATATAAGTAATACCTCATGAGCTTGATGTTTTTATCTCGGAAGCACTTCAGATAATCTTACGCACATAGGTTCAGACTATATCGAATTAATCTGAATGTTAACGATATCTTCCCATAACAAATATGAAATAAAAAATATATAATAGTTTGAATGTGAATTGATATGTCAGATCGTTTTTGTATCGGATAGTTTACTTTGATGCATTTAGGAGGTCCTTAGGATACATACGATCGTAACGTATCCATATTTTATTGGCGCTATTCGCCGAATCCATCTGGGACTTACTTTACGTCTTAACTATTGACTATTGAAATCTCTATATGTCATCGTTTCATACCCCCATAGTCTCTCTACAAGGGATGAAACACACACCGTATGATCTGAAGATTACGATCGTGATCTAAAGTGATGGAACAGACACTCGGCCCGTATCAATCTGAACCACACATTTTTCCGTTCGAATAAGATAAATAAGGCACCGAAATGAAATATTATCTTTATTTTCCTTAAACCTCTCTCTCTCTCTCTCTCTCTCTCTCTTACTCTCTTTGTCTCTTCTCGTCCCACTTCTTCCCCGTTTCAATCCCGCCATTTCTATACTCCTCCGAGCAATTCAACCCATCTTCGATCTCCACCAATCCTCATCTCCCGTTTCTGTGATCGAGGTCTTCTTGATTTCGCCGTCGAGCGCCTTTTTTGGCTTATGATCTCGTTGTTGCTGAAGATTAGGGTTTTGCTTCTGTTGCTTGGTTCCTTTATCACATTAAACTCTGGGATTCAGTTTCTTAGAATTGGTGCAGAAATTTAGAAGACGCGGTTTTCTAATCGGGTAAATTTGGCTTTTCTCTCGGTAACGGAAGTTGATTTTTAGTGACCCAGACTGCATCTCCATGGCTGATAGGTAGTTTTGCGGCTTCTGACACAAGGGGAGTGATCATTGAGGGGTTCCCTACGAGACTGGGGAGACTCCCGTACTAGGAAGCTGAATTTGAGGTATTTGGCGTGATGGAATGTTGTTTCACTTTTTGCGGTGTCCATGAGATTTCAGGTTGAGGAAAAGCATCGGAGTAGAAGTTGGCATTTCATGAGCGATAAATCTTTGAGTTAAGAAGTTGTGGGATAAGTTCTGCAGCCATTTTGAATTCGATATTGCTTCTGAAAGTTTTGGCCTGATGTTTCCTTCTGGAACAGACCGTACACAGGTTACAGCTGCAGTTTCTTGTGGAGTGCTTATACCAACGAGGTTTGTCTGGCCTTATGGCGGGAGACGAGTTTACTTACTTGGCTCTTTTACAAGGTGTGGTTATTTCTTCATTTGTATTCCCTTTGTTTTTGTTTATTTATTTTACTAATTATTTGCATGGTAAGTGGAATTGAAGAAGCATTACAAAACTAACTGGTTTATAATCTTTTTTGAGAAAGCATGATTTAAAACATACTAGAATCTAAAGAATTATCTTGAGGACAGAGGGCCCTGCAGTTTTTCGTGCAGGAAAACTACACCAAGTTCCCTTTCAAAACATCCTGGTTTTGGTTAATAAAGGCTGAATTTTCCTTTGTCAAAATGGATTTTTTTTTGTCTTAATATGATGTACAAGAATATGGGTGTCAATGGTGAATAGAAATGTAACATTCATGCCATATCTCATCAATCAGACTGGGCTACATGTGATACAGGTGGTTCATGTGTGCTTTCTTGCATTTGTGCATTTGTTCATATATGGATGTGCAATTTTAATTTTGCTGTTTGATTATAACATTTGGGCTTGTGAAATGCTAATGATGAATTAGACCTTTGAATGTGGAAGAATGTGGGCCCGTTTGTTGTTATTTAATCCTTATCTCTCTAGAGTATTTATTTTAATCTTCATTGTAGGTGGACTGAACATTTACCAATGACCCGCGTGGAGGGTTGTCCTTCCGTATTTCAAGCTATCTGCAGATTAACACCTGGCGTTCATCAGGTCAGCGTGAGTTTATTGTTCTTACAAATTTGATGTTTTTTGTTATATCTTTCTTTCTGAGAGGTCACCCCTAGCTTTTTTTACTGGAGTACATATGAGTTTTCTTCATATTTATAAGCCAACAGGTTTAGACAGACTTGTCCATTTGATTTTCTTTGGGTGTCATTTTACTTTATTTTGTATTTTGAAGTGCTTTTGTCATGTTTTAAATTCTGAACATATGCTAACCTCTGGATTTATAATTATTTGTTATTTTGTACAGGCATTTAGTTAATTAACTTTGTTACACACTGTGCAGTATAAGTTCTTTGTAGATGGTGAATGGCGGCATGATGAGCGGCAACCTCATATGGTGGGAAATTATGGGATAGTGAACACTCTTATTGTTACCCAAGAACCTAGTATGCAGACCATCTTAAGCCCCGAGACACCCAATAACCGAATGAACATGGATGTTGACCATGAGAACTTTCGACATGTGGTAAGTCTACAATTATCTAATAATGATGAAGGTGAACCTGTACAATACTGCTTCAATATGTTAATTCATGTCCCCTCTTTTTACATACAATTGCAAACATATTTCCTTTTAATGTGAACTTAGATTTTGTTTCTATGGAATGCACTTGCATGCATCACCATCTTTGTGTTAAGCATATGCTTAGTTTTGTGCATATCTGGACATACATATGATTGATTTGTAATACTTACTGCCATATCACTAAGTTGTTCATGTAAAAAATATTGTTTAACTATTTCCTTGATTTATTATGGTTACATTTATGGGGATGAATATAGAAATTCAAGAGACTTGATTAACAGTAGCTACTTATGTTTCATTGCATACTTACCGTTGTTAGGAGTTAGGACCTTCCCTATGTTAGTGGAGTAATTATGGACTTAGTGTGGAATGTTTGACTCTAGATAGACTTGTAAAAAAAAGAGAATAATCACTTTTGTTTTTCTCTTTTTTGTGATCACCCATGTGAGAATTTCATAGATGGTGTGTTGCATCTCAAAACTGAATGACACGTTATCTGGTAAAACAAATGATGTGATATGTGGGTGCAGGGTGGGGAGGTAGGGAGCATATACCAATGCAATAACAGTTTTTGACTATAAGATAGTAATGAATAATGGTCACAGCTCACTTCTACTGGAAGTTGCATGCCAGCAAATTCAGTGTAGAAATGCTGTATGCTGAATTGTGCTTTCCCAATGTTTGCTTTCATAACTATAGTTAAGATTAGATTGTATGTGCAAAACTCAACAGCAATTTGGCATGTTATATGATGTCATACTGAGCCCATTATTGTCTTGAATGACTGAAATCATCTTTGAATCACTTAGTATATCTCTATCTTTGATTGAATTACCATTTCTATTAGATCAACTATTTAACTGTCAGATTCTTTGCTGCAGGAGACAACACTGACGACTGTAGAGGCTGATATTGGAGACTTTCGTGATCAGATTTATGAATTTTTGTCCACCCATACTGCTTATGATCTGCTTCCTGATTCAGGAAAGGTATAATTATTTTTTCTTAGTGAATAAGATGCTATCTTGCTTTATATATTATCAGCATATTAGCAATTCCGCAACTTGCATTTTTTCTCATTGATTCAACATTGGTATTGCTCTTCAGGTCATTACTCTTGATGTTAATCTGCCAGTAAAACAAGCATTTCATATCCTGTATGAACAGGTACCTGTCATCTAAGATTTGATTAAATGCTTCGATAAAAAATTAATGTTAAATTTCATGCTAAAGTGCTACTTTTCTGAGTCTTATATTTTGTCTGTGACTCGATACCAGAATTTAAGCACTAACTTAGTAACAATAGCTAAATGTAAGAATTGTGAGTAATGTATCCTATACTCATTGATATATTGTTAGAACTTAGAAGGACCTTGGCAAATTCGGAACATCTGAAGGTTAAAACTTAAACTAATAATAAAAAGTTAATTTAGGAAAAAGTTTTGACACCTTGGTTCTAGATTTTCTGTATACCATGTATGTGTTTGAATAACTTTATTTGAGTGTCATAGGTTAAGCCTTCGGGATGCACTGCAAACCATTGGTTCATACAACTAATTACCAATTAATGTTCAAGTAGTTGTATTATATTATTCTGATTATCACAAATATATTGCTATCAAGGAGGGCCTGCTAGGTCTACATAGCATCTCAACTGGTAGTTGATTTCATTGTTATTTATGAAAGTGTACCATGATCGACGGACTAAGTTCCTGCCAGCTCACAGAGTTATCTTTCAAGTCATCTTGTGCTATGCTGTCCCGATGCTGCCAATTTTATATTATGGCCAAGCCATACTTTGGCCTCATTCAGCCAGGACACAATGTGTGCCTGCTGCATCTGCCGACAATGTATCAGAACCTTCCTTGACATTTAGAACCTTGCCAATATTTCTTGGTCATGATTGGTTGCAGAACATGCACTTGTGTTTTGATCAGGGTTGTACAAGCACTATTATGGATTGCCTAAAATTGAGCCAAATAGGTGTATCATAGTTATCAGAGTTAAGGGTGCCAATTTCTTCATGGGTTTTGACATGACATGATACCATGTTGTGCCGGTTCATGCAGGGGTTTTGGCATGTTATCAGTGAAATTCAATTCGGCTAGATAAACCACTATGGACATTGTGCTAGCCAAAATAAGCCAAAAATGGATGGCGGTATGATAAATACAGCTTAGTATGAGACTATGTATGCCTTTTGAAACTCCAATCATTCAGCAAGGATTTTCTAGAAATGTATAAAGAAGAGACTCATTTGGCACCAAAATAAGAATAAGTTGATGAAGTTCATCGTCGATGCATGTTTAAGGAAAATCTTTGTTTCCAAAAAATTTGAGGTTTCAAGAGGAGAGTGGAAGTTTAAGAAGATGTAAAAATTATGGGAAGCAACATAATGCTTCTGGATTATTTGAAGATGATGGCTTTGCCATCCTAAGTGGCAGAAACAATTGATGGAGCAAGCCAATGATAGCTGTTGTCATTGGTTTTGCTGTATTTTAATTCATTTGTATATTACTTTGTTATTACTTTGAAGACTTAGAAACTTTTATAGATGAGCCATTTGTACACTTAGAATCTGTTTATTGTTGATCTCTATTTGTAGAGATGATAACTTTTTGAGCAAATCTTAGTTTCTAGTGATGTCAAGTTTTGTTTATGAAAAGGGTACATGGATGTTTAAGTGGTATTTTGCTGATTGATTGTTTGTTTCTGAACTAATAAAATGTATGCTTTTCTTTTTGAATTTTTGTCAGGAAATTCCTGTTGCTCCTTTACTGGATACTTGCAAGGGTGAATTTGTTGGAGTACTTAGTCCATTGGATTTTATACTAATTCTGAAAGAGGTACAAGTGGAATCTGAATCATTTTGTTTCCATTCAAAAGCTAGGTGAAATTACTTCTCCTTGTGCTGTTTTTTTCTGAAGGTTTGCTGTGGATTCTTGATGGGATTGATTTTCTTCAATGCAATTCTTTTTTATTTGCAAGTGGTCATGGACTAGGAATTGCCTATCCTCGAAGATTGCTTTGAACTCACTGAGTGGATCCTTTATTTTTTTTTAATAAAAAAACTGAGTATTACTTATTAATCAAAAGAGCTAGTTACAAAAGGATCAGGCAGGGAGTGATCTCCCTCGGATGCTGCTGCTAGAAGAGTTGAGGCCCCTCTTGGGTAGAAGATGGGCCTCCCTATTGACATTTCTAGGAATATGAACAACCTTAACAACTTCCACTAAGCTGGACAAACTGAAAATATCCAGAAACAAAAAGTGAAGGTACCAAGGTACCAAGGCCACTCTGATAAGGTTTGTCCCTGTGCTCTTCAATGTATTCTAAGCTTGCTGTTAGCACATGTTGTACATGTTCACACATTTTGTCTGCACATTGACTTGAATTATTGATTTGATACCTCTTTTTAACTAGTTTTTTCTTCCATTTGTTTTTCTTATTGAATTTTGAATTTTAGTATTGCTTTAATCTTTTCCCTTTGCAGCTCAGTAGTCATGGTTCAAATTTGACAGAAGAAGAGCTTGAGACCCATACTATTTCTGCTTGGAAAAAGGCAAAACAACAACGAAGCTGGCCACTGGTTATGCATGAAAGAAAATCTAAAGACCATCTAATCCATGTAACCTTTTCTCTTGTTATTTTCTCTTGCTAGTTGTTCTTCTTTACTGATTGAAAAAAAGTAAGTTCTGATATAAAAGGAGTTGGTGATTCCATTGGTTGTTTCAAAAGTCACCAGAAAGTCAGTTAAATAAGTTTTATATAATGGTGACAGGTGATGTTATTCATTGCACACTTTTTTCATGAAGGTTTTGAACATATCTCAGTTGATTTATAAGGTCATCGATGGTGTTTTACTGATATATATTTTTTAGTATACTCTCATTGACCGGTCCGAAAGAAGATGCATAAGGCTCTAAATGATGCTGAAATTTAAGGGTCATTACAAAGTATCTTTTTGCGCCTTTAAGACTGTATCAGATGTTCAAAAAAATACTTTAAAAATTAAAATATTTTACTGGAATTTAGGGTAATGTCTTAGCATTTGCTTTTGACATCTTGAGAGCATGATGTATATTCCATTTGGACAAGCAATGTTCACAACACGCAATAGATGCCTAGTGATAGATATATAATAATAATGTATAGGTACTAGATTTTGATTGCAGTTTTGAGAAGGGATCAAAAATTTCAACATTCATAATAATGTAAAAACTTTTTACAATGTTGTTTTGTGATTGTAGAAATTTTGGTCTACTTTATTGTCATGCCAACACAAGAACAGGAATTCAGAAGTACTATTAGTAGTTTTTTTTTTACTTTGACTTGTGAAGCCTAGATTTTTTTCAGCAAAAAGATAGGAAATAAATAAGACAACAGTTCAGACATATGTTCCTAAATAAGGAAAATGTATATGTTATGATGATACATAGTTCCAAAGGCATGTTAAATCAGTAAACATAGGTCTTCTATTACAGAGGAAGCCCCTAAGATTATGCATAACATGCAGACAGCCTGTGTCAATGGTATGCCAGCCCATGCCTAGTGTATAGCACAAATGTGGCATGTTCCAAGATGGTGCAAGTCATCTATATTCAGTCAAAGGAATAATATTCTGTTGGATTTCAGTCGATTAAAAACCAATTTAGTTGGTTTTGGTCAGGTATAATGATAAGGTTACTCCTTTGCGACCTGGGAGACCAGGGTTCAAGTCATGAAGATAGTCTCGTTAAATATATAAAGGTAAGGCTGCGTACATTGACTCTCCCCGGACCTCACATTGGTGGGAGCCTCGTGTATTTGGTATGCCTTTTATAACAATGCAATTCTCACCTAAGTTAGGTCAAATTAGCCCTAAACTTTCCTGAGTTTATTATTAATGCCACCTTGGATTTGCTTTCCTTGGAGGTTCAGATTTGGTCACACCAGCCACAACATACTCTGGTCAATGCTCCTTCAGTTGTAATTTGAGTTCAACACTTCTTCAGACTACACCCATCAGCTCAAGGTTTACCCTTGGCCTTTTCAGCTATAGTGCAGCCCTCTGGCCATAAATGGGGCCAGGGAAGGGATTGGGTCAATGTTGTACAGTTTGCTATGGCTTTGGGCTGGCTTCTGGTGTGCAAGCTCAGCATATTTTAGCATGTTGCAGTATAATTGTCATACATCAAATCGGTATCAAAGGAGTTATCCTACATTAGCCAAATACTAAACGTGCTTAAATATTCACAGAACACTTGCCCTTGCCAAGAATTGATTGCTAGGGATGGCCTTACACCATGTCTTCCATGTAGACAATGGAAGTATACCATTGGAAAAAAAATTGTGAAGAAATATTTTTGTTCATTAATTAGTTGATGCTTATTATTCTTCCCTTTTTATAGACCTCAAATATAATAAAAATAAGAACATACACAATAAATAAAAAATACAATAAAGAAAATTACATCCTATCAGTTAAAATTTGTCAACCATTTCATCTTTCCTTCTTTGGGGAAGACAATTTCATATTTGTTTTTGCATATAATCTTCTTTGTTGATAAATATTTGATTGTTAAAGTTCCTTCTTTCTAGTTTTTCAATCAAGAATAAATTTTCCTGTAGGAGTGAATCTTAGATTAAATCAATTAATTTATCTCCCTTCATCTTTTTCTTCAGGTCTTTAAATGCTAAGGTTTGTCTTTTTGCTTTTCTTCTCTTTGGCTTCCTTTTTCTTCTTCTTGGTGATCTTGGTATTTAATATAAGATAATGGAAGACGTTATAGTTTGATGACATTACATTTGCAAATTACACCCTAAACTAATAAAATTTATTCTAATGTCAAATAAATTAAAATGGTCCTGCATCATAGGCTTTGAAACATGATGCCACTACAAATAATTCATGTAGTACACACAGTGTTGTTCCTGATATGTATTCGTTCATGAACCACCATACCAATGTAGTGGTGTTCAATAGTTTAGGTTTTATATTATGCATTTCTCCAGACTAATATCTGATTTTCATTATCTAATCTATTTAGACATCTAAGTTGATTACTTGCTGGGTTAATTCATTTATTTTCCATTGACCAATCAACTTATGGGTGTTTTGTGCTTCATGTTGATTTCTTTTAATTGATTGTAGTGTTCTACCGATCTTGTATATCCTATTAATTTTGAAGTTACCATCCGTGTGTCTCTAGTATGGCTGACTGTTGTCATGTAAATGTTGCAGTCACTATCATTCGCTAAATCTCTTTGATGTTGTAGGTTGGGCCTTATGATTCATTGAAAGATGTAGCACTGAATATAGTGCAAAATCAGGTGGCAACAGTTCCAATAATTCATTCACCATCACAAGAGGAATCATTTCCACATTTACTTCATCTTGCATCTCTTTCAGGCATATTGAAATGTAAGGCCTATTATCTTGCCATTCTCAGTTCATCTTACCCTCGTTTGTTAACTAGTAGGTTGATAGCTTAATGGCAATGAGATTGATCTTCCCTCAGCAAGTTTGGTTTTAAAATTTTAGGTATCTGCAGGCATTTTAGACATTCATCTAGTTCACTCCCTGTATTGCAACAAGCAATATGCACTACTCCTCTGGGCACATGGGTTCCAAGAAATGCTGAGTCAAATAAGAAGCACCTGACAATGTTGAGATCAAATGAATCACTTAGCTCTGCCTTAGCATTGTTACTGCAAGGTTACATCTTGGCTTAAATTTATTAATTATATGTAGACACCTAACATGTTTTCCCTGCGTGGTACCATATAATAGGATCTATTGTGTTTGAAATTGCATGAATACACTTCAGGTGGCATTTTTGAGGGTTATTCATGCAAACATCAACTGTAAACTTTTATACTTGCATTCTCTTGATCTTATAACATGCTTCACGTGATTTTCTTTGTTTGCCTATTAACTCTGCTTGACCTTCCATGTTGGTTTCTTTAACTCTTCTAATGAGATGATTAAAAAAATTAGATATGGTTGAGGCTAACTTTTGCAATGGTTGAATTTTGTTTTTAGTCCTTGCACGTAACTTCACATTCATAGAAAAACCCTTTAGATTACTTTCTGTGCAAGTTGTTTTTCAGGATTATGTATGTTGTTTGAATGGTTTAACTTATGTTCCTATATCAATGCATATCAGGCTGCAAGATAATAAAAAAATTGATACAAATAGTTCTTTTAGAATGTATATTTTGTACATGTGGATCACGACTATAGATCATCTTCTGCCATCTATAAATTCCTGTGACTTTCTCTTTGTTCTTTGCTTTTGCTATGTGAGCAATGATGGGTGTAGATTAAATATCATTACCAACAAGATACATGTTAAAGCAAATTACGACAATCACCATATTTTATAATTGGAAGTTATTGTTTGTGTCTTAATGCTGTCCATTTAATGATCTGAAGCAACTAAAGTGGCATCTGAATTAGATATGTTTTCTTCCAACAATTTTGTTCATCCTTGAGCAATGTTTCCTGAGTCTCTTTCTTCAAATGTTAATATCACAGAAGCCTTTTGCCAGAATGGACATGACACTCATAACTTGAGTTTTCTTATATTTCTAATGCTGATTTGTCCAAACCTTGGTCAACAAGAGTCACTAAAGTTCTGATGTGCCAAAGCTTCATTAAATTGAGATCCAGTTTGAACCTTTTTTTCCTCAAGTTCTTTTTGCCTTGGTGGACTCTGTAGTTTGGTGGATTTATAGATTTTCACAAAAGAGTATAATCCCTATAATGCTGCATCTTTGAGATTAATTTGGTAATTCTATGCTGCAATTAATAGTTTTTTTTTCTTTTCTTCTGCTCTAGAAATGCATGATTCATCTGCAATCCTTATGCTTTATCCATTTGTCTTATTATATAGTATATATATCTTATTTCACTCATTGATTCAATATACAGCTCAAGTTAGTTCAGTACCGATAGTTGATGACCATGATCGTTTGTTGGATGCATACTCTAGAAGGTATTATACTTGTGCTTAGTACAGGTGGTGTCTTTCAGCTGCAATTTTTGTTTCAAACTTTCCTCAATAATCTATGCTATTTGACTGAGTACAGGTGGGATGTTTCAATTTCTTTTGTTTTCTTTCTTTTGTTCTGACTGCAGTGACATTACATCTCTGGCTAAAGACAAGGCTTATGCACAAATTCACCTGGATGAAGTGAGTATTTACCAGGTAAAAAACTGAAACCTCTTTACTTTGGCTTGCTCTTTATCTTATGAATGATCCATCATGAATGCTTCTGATGTTTCATGCAGTGGATTTTGTATTTCTAGTTCTTTTAACTTGTGGACTATAAATGCCTCTGGATGTAGTGCATTAATTTTTTTTGATGTAGTTAGTGCCATTTTTGCATCCAGATTCTGTTGTTTATTTTGTCATCTAAATTCTATTGACACCCTATTTTATTCTATATAAATCATCACGGGAATGATGTAATTCAGGGAAAGTAGATGATCTGGAGTTTCATTATGCTCCAAGGAATTTGCTGGTATAGGGAACATCATGGAGGAAGCCTGTCAGTGAGACATGTTTGCCTGACTTTTTGAGTATTAAACAACTTAGTTCATATATGTAGGGTCATCCTATTTTTGAATTCCATCCTTATCAGGACATTTTGTATTGTGTAGAACCCTTTTTTTGTGGTTTCATTGTGGTCATAAATCTGTATGATTCATATTTTGTTCTTATTTCCAGCTGACCAACACTAATCAGATCTTGAATTGCAATGTATCATCAGTACATTTTCAAATTGAACAATCTGCAGGATTCTTCTGACATTATTTGTGTGACCCATGCATCCTACGAGTAACTTATATGGGGTTTGCTTGTTGATGTGGATTAAAATTTTCAGATGCAAGTTATCATCGTTGGCTATTTTGTTCACAGACACGAGTCCATTCCTTTCATTCTTGATTAAGACTAGAGGTATCATTTACTACATGCATTGTTGACAGTTCAAATACACTGATCCATACTTTCGTTATTTCCTGAAGGGGCTATGGAGATATCATGTGTTACCATACACATGACCAGAACTATTCCATCAATTTTTTCACTATCTTGCTTGGTTCAAACCTCTTTGTCCAATAATGTTGTTAATGATAAACAAAAATAACGATGTGATTGTCAAGCTTGAATTGGTAAAAGTTTTATCTGTTGGCTCTTCAGTTAATAAATCAGGAAACTAGCATATCATTTCTATCTTATTATCTGGTGAATAATAGAAATTACATCTGATGTTTATCAGCTGTCAGATTATATTGAATATCTGTCACGAAGAAGAAAGAAGGATTTTACTCAAATGTGCTGCTGTTGCAACTTAAGTAATGACTTGAGTTGCAATTGGCTGATGTGTACGCCCAGGGCTCTGCTTCATTCCTCAATATTTGTTTTCTAGTTGTTTCTGGATGAGTTCCTATGTTACTGAACATTTTTTCTTGCAGTGTTTCTTTTGATCTGTAGAATTAGTATATTATGATATATTATTTGTGCTTGTATTTACTATATTATATCTGCCTTTTACTTTTGATGGTAGAAGGTCAAGCAAAAAATTCATACATGAGAAAACTAATGAATCACTATGTTGGTAGATCTTACCGATTCCTAATTAACCAAAGTAGAGATTACTTTTGTCTTTTGTTATTTAACTTGTCATTGTAAAATGGATGAGAAGTTTAAAAATAGACGGATGATGGTATACAACATTTTTCATATCACAATTCATGGATTATGGTTTTAAACAAAATAGAAGGATGATTTGGGCATTTTGAGCAGCCTAAATTCAGGCAGAAAGAGCTACTGATCATGCTTTGATAAACTTGCCCGGCCACAGATCCTTATTACATTGGTTTTACAATATAGTTCCCCATATTATCTTTTGTTGTTGTTCTTAGATTTTGCCACTATAATCTATTAGAGATGAAGCCAAAGCAATGACTTTGGTCTCCATCCTCGTGTTGTCTCTGTGGTTTATAGCTGACCCTCCTACATGCTCTGCAACTGGGTTGAGATCCTATTTTTTGGCAAGTTCATAGTCCAAATCCTCGCACATTACCATGACCAAAGGGTGACATTGAGCAAACTCTTTGGCATGTGTTATTTAAAATGACAGATCTGTGGACCTCGCTTGTCAGATGAAAGGACATGATGCATATCTGTACATGTTGGACCTAGCGTCATTGCCCATTGTAGCATCCCTGCCGTCTACTTTGTTTATCTGGTTTCACTTGTTGCTGAATTTTGGTTAGTCAGAACGTAGAAGATGGGATTAATGTTGATTCTGACAGCGTATGTTTCTTTGTAGCATTGTATCCACCCTTGTCTTCATCCTTCTATGTTCATTTGCTACATCAAGTATTTAGTAAGTTTTACTTGTTGCTAAGGCAATTAATCTGTTCATGGTGGAACTTGCAAAAGTTGATAAGTCCATAGAGACCATGACTTCACGATATGGGGATTTGATAATGAGCCTGTTTAGGTACATTGGGGACACAATAATTTGGGATCGTTTGAATTAGTAACCTCTATTTCCTATCTCTCATTTTTCCTTTTTGTAATATCAACTTAAATCCCTCTGAAATATTTTATGCTATTGCCATGTCAAAAATTTAAATTATCATGTTATCGGAGAATGTTAGATTCGGTCAAAATATTGTGAAAAGATTTTCAGTCACCAAGGTATCTACCAAATTTGACTTTGATAGTGTATTTTAAGTTTCATTCTTCCTTTGTAAATTTAGGCACTGCAACTCAGACAAGATGCAAATCCTCATCAAGGATCCCATAATGGGCAGAGATGCCATATGTGTCTCCGTTCAGATTCTCTACAGAAAGTAATGGAGCAATTGGCTAATCCTGGTAATGATTCATCATACACAAAATTATAACATTTCACCTTTTCTATTGGATATCATACTATACATTGATGTATAAATTGATTTAGGTGTCCGCCGCCTTTTTGTTGTCGAAGCTGGAAGCAACCGTGTAGAAGGCATCATTTCGCTGGGTGATGTATTCAAGTTCTTGCTCGGCTTGCCGTAGTGGCACAACGCGGTTTGTTGGTCATTCAACTTTGTGAGCGTGTTCAATCCGATGCATCAAAAATGGGAAATGGAATTATTTGTATTCAGATGCACTTTTTTCTTTTACGATTTCTTTCCTGATTCAATAGGCCTCGTTGGTTTAGAGCCTGGTGTCTTTAGGCAAGGCCACAGCGAGGTCTGTACATGAGAAGAGATGGTTTGATTTCAAATGTAAAATTTCTCTTGATTTCAGTAGTTTAATTATAACGATTTGGGTAGTGTTACCTCAGAGTGATGATCATCGTCTATCTCTTCTCTAGCCACCATCTGAAACATATGGTTTAGAGTCAAATAAATTGGAGTTGACTTTCCCGTGATAGAAGATTTGGTGTATCTCATCCAAGTTGCACCCTCAGTTATTTCAGTGGTACTTTAGCTCTCTCCTGACAAGCCAAGATATATTATTTTGTTAGTTGATATGAAGTCTTCTTGCATTATCTCAGCCTCAGGAGGTCAAACTGTACAGAGATTCATCTTATCTTGCATCATTCATCATCAATGAGTCCTCTTCTGCTCATGCGTTCTCCCTCATCGATTCTTAATCGAATAATAAGATGTATACTTGACAATACAACTAATAATTATATTAATAATACATAATAATATCAAATCTCACTAGTTTAGTTTGAGACTCTCGATGGCGGGTCCCTCTCCGCGTGCTGGGTGACGCACATATACGTATGCTGCAATATTCCCGCATAAAAAACCGACTCTTTGAACCCACTTATTATTCTCACCGCTGCGGCGTGAAGCGTCCGCCTCGTCTACCATTGTGGTTTGGGTGGTGTCAGTTCTCTTACACTCACCTCGAGTGAAAGTATCTCTTAAACAAACTACGTGCGGCCTTCTCTCCATATAAATTTGTCTCGTTCCTCAAAAAATTATGATTTCTTTTTCAGTTGACGCCCGGATTTGAGCTCTTTAAACTCGCTGCGGTTTCCTCCGAGGTTTGGAAGGACTCGAATCGAAGAGCGGAAACAGCATCGGCGGCGGCGGAGTCAATCGAACGGTGGCAGAGACTAAGAAATCCGTTGACCGATGGATCGAGAGATTGGTTCGGCTCCTGATGAGCAGAGGGTCTGACATCTTTGATCTCGCCGCAAATCTCTTATGCTTTAATCTATCATCTCTTTATGTTGTATTTGATACCTTTAGCTGCATGTGATGATGATCTTTACTATAGAAAGCGAATAACTCGGTGAAATTTGGGCTTGCAAAGGTTAAGCTGTTAGGATGCTTTCAACTTAGTGATTTGTTCTTGGGATCATTAGACGGTAGGTATGATCCTCGATGGTGTTTGGGAACTTCGATAGGAATATAGATGCGAAATGTATTAGTGCACAAATTTTGATTCGTTGTCGTGGGCGGATTAATAAAATCGTAGCTAGAGAGGGTAATTAGTTTGTTTGTAGAGTGTTTTGTGGCTATAGTGCTTGTTTTGGTACTCCGGTCGCCGTTTGAATACCCAATCGAAGGAGAAGAAAGGGTATTTGGTGGCGGTGTTTCTCTTGTATGAAATTTCTCACTGCCATGGTCAGTGTCTTTCCAAGACTTCAGAATACTGGACACTTGTGGAGTCTTACTTGTGTTTTCCTAGTGAGAAGATTGTGGTGTTAAATAATTGTCTTGCGCGACATTAGTTTGGACAAATTTTCTGCTGCTAGAGTTTGGCAAGAACCTATCCAGATATAAGAAAATTTTCACTTTATCAGATGAAAAGATTTGGTCTTGCTTTCATAGAAAGTGATCGTTGTAGGGCTTGTTCATTTGCCAGTCACAGGTTGTTTTAAATAGGGATACTTGGACGGCATGTTTGGTTGTGTGTTATCAGATTGAGTGACAAATAATTCCCCGGGCTCAGCCCCATGGTATCTCTGCTTGGATCGATTGTCAACCATTTTTCCCTTTTACAGGTTTCTTGGAGGAGCAACTGCAAACACCTTCTTCTTTTAGCATATCAGAGTCTTGGAGTAGTGTATGGTGACTTGAGTACCTCTCCTATTTATGTATATACAAGCTCTTTTTCCGGAAGGCTGAGCCTTTATCAAGATGAGCAAACAGTATTTGGTATGTTTTCCTTGATATTCTGGACATTCACTATAATCCCATTGCTTAAGTACGTCATCATTGTCTTGGGTGCTGATGATAATGGTGAAGGTGAGAGTTTCAATTTTTCAGCCTTCGATTTTTTCCTGTTTTATTTATTTATTTATTTATTTATTTTCTTCTTTCACTGCTCATACTCTTGGAACTGTTCATAGGTGGAACGTTTGCTTTGTACTCTTTGCTCTGCAGACATGCCAAGCTCAGTTTGCTCCCCAATCAGCAATCAGCTGATGAGGAGCTCTCCACATATTATAGGAATGGATACATTTCTCAAAATACTATTCATTCTCCACTAAAAAGGTTTTTAGAGAAGCACAAAAGGCTGAGAACATGCTTACTTCTCATAGTTCTATTTGGTGCTTGCATGGTGATAGGAGATGGGGTTCTTACCCCAGCAATTTCTGGTATAATGGCATACATAATGATGTAATTCATCTTTTTTTGTCTGTGAAAATTCACACACCCCATTTTCTGTCTCTTAAACAATTTTATTTTTATTTCCAATCTCATGCTAGACTTAATTTTGGGTACATTGCAGTTCTATCATCAATTTCTGGGTTGCGAGTGCGTGCCAAGGGATTGCTTGATGGTATGTATAGCTTCTTTGTGGGCGTTTTTCTTTAAGTAGAAAAAATGATGTAGAAAACATCATGCTTCACTTAGTTGACAAATGTTGCAGATATGTTTCACAACTTCATTACAAAATTTAGTTTTCCAGAGTTTTGGATCACATGTAAGCATGTGTTAGAAGAAACACCTCTAACAAATGCTACTCTGATTCAAGTTAGAGGAAAAAACATCATAAGCTGAGAACCATGTCTTATTCTACTAGATAAATTTACTGCAACAAAGGTAGAGAATTCATGTATTTCATTAGGTGTTCATATGTTATTCTGCAACATCCCGCTTCTAACATCTAATCAATCTATCTAATCTACATTCTGATGTATTAGGACCATTATCTAATCTAACTAGACTTATAGTAGGACTCTATAAAATTCCTGAAATAGCTACTAAAATTAGTAACAAATAATCAGTTTGAAAATAGGAAATGTATAACCTAAGTTGCTCTCATCTTTTGCAACAACTTTTAGGAGTCCTGGCTTGGGAAATCACATGTAAGCTTTCAGAAATCATTCCGATGCTGTCTTCATCCAAGTTGCATAAATACCTACTACCCTTGGCTTTGCAAGAATCCTAAAGGGCTCTTTTTTGTAAACTTCATTACAAGAATACTATTTTTCATAGAGTGGGAAAACTTGATGCTAAAGTAACTTTCTGTACTTGATTTATGGTAACTCCAATGCTCATAGTTAAGCCTCCTTGTTTTGCATTGTCATCTTGAAAGTTTGGATAAACTTGAATTTGTTTTAGCTTCTATAATTTTTACTCTACTGTATAACATGATATTCTTACTCATCTTCTGTCTGACATAGGTGAGGTGCTAGTCATTTCTTGTGTTGTGCTGGTTGGCCTTTTTGCCTTGCAGCACAAAGGAACTCAGAGGGTAGCCTTCGTATTTGCACCTGTTGTTATCATTTGGCTGTTATGCATTGCTGCAATTGGCTTGTATAATACAATCTATTGGAATCCCAGAATATTTCATGCTCTTTCTCCACATTACATTGTCAAGTTCTTTGAGCACACTGGAAAAGATGGATGGATTTCTCTCGGGGGAATACTTCTTTCAATTACAGGTAAATGCCAGATCATATGCTGCGTTAATTTAGTGTTTTTTCTTTGATTGCAGTTCTTCACTTGTCTAGTGCATACTAATTTATATCTGAGTTCAAACTATTTACAGGTACTGAAGCTATGTTTGCAGATCTTGGCCACTTTAATGAAGCATCCATCAGGGTATGTGTGCTAAATATCTCGTTACATAATGTTTCAATAAAAGAACGACCAGATAAGGTTGAAAATTCGGAAATTTATAACCAATACTGTTACAGAAGAAACAATTTGAAACACATGGAAAAATTAAGGTTCAACTGAAGTTATCACTGTGAAAATCAACATGCACCAACAATTATACATTGATTATGCTGTTTAAGTAATCAGTCTTTGGTCAACATCTGGATCTCATAAGGGGAAATTAGAATCCGTCATCATTTCATATAACGTATGTCTCTTGTTAATCTTTTTGTACATTAGAAAATATTGACTTGGATTCCTCTTAAATATTGGTTTGGTGATGTACATCGATTTACCAAGGGTTGAAGATATATAATCCAGGGTTCACCATTTTGGATAACGAAATTGTCTCAAAGATTTGTTGGACTGATACATTTCGGTCTGTATTGGTATATCGATACATGGTACGATAGGTCATGCCAATGAGGACTTCAGCGATCCATGTCTCGGTCGCCAGTTGTACCATATCGACTTGGGCGGTACAACAAACATTGATATAATCTTATCTAACAAATTTGAATATGTCAGTTATATTGGTTAGTAAAGAGCTTAATAGTTAATAGTTGATAGTTAATAGTAGGGTCTTGGGTTGTCTACCTTTACAAAAAAATAAATCCTATCTTCATCATTGAGCTTAATAGATAAACAAATCCTATCTTCATCATTTACCTTTACAAAAATAGAAAAAAAAGAATATTGACTTGGGTTGTTTATCTATTGGGCAGTGAGTTATACTTAATCTATTGAATACCACTAAATCTATTGCATACTTAATCCTTGATCTGCTCGACAGAATTATATGATGCATTGGAAGATGATAAGTCTCATGACAATCTAGCCCTTCATCTGCTCATTAGAATCATATAATGCATTTGGAAGCTATTGCAAAATTCTTATCTTATAACATTGTAAGTGAATTATTGCCTTAAGAAGGGTGAATCATGAGTGAGAATACCCCTTTAGAACAGTTGACAGGGTGACTACCTCTTTATTTTGGGGCTGGACACATTAGTAGGTCTCCATGTCTCAATTTCCTACAATAGCTATATTCCTATAGTAGTCTTCCAGATATTGACTTGATGCACCTTCCTGATCAGGTCTGACCAGCTTTTGATAATTTTACTAGTAATAATAAGCTTGAACTGTAGGAGTCCTACGCTAACAATATGTGGATGGAGTAGTCCTATGGTAATCTGGCACATGATGTGGCATCATGGCCCAGTAAAATAGCCAACTAAATAAGGGTCCAACATATGGGTTGAATGACACTCAACAGGGATTGACTATACTAGGGTTGATGCCATCCTTTCTCTGGCTACACCTTGACCTCTCACCTGAGCTTGCCTTGAGTTCAACTGTCCTATTGCCCTATAAACAGATTTGAGTTCAAAACTAACATTTAAAGGCTAAATTTGATCCAATGCAAATATTCAATAATGATCATCAAAGTTAGTAAATATATCGCGATCTGATCCAATAGGATAATTGACCTATTACCTTGTAGAGCTTGAACCATTAACCCAACATACTTAAGTCAAAGTAGTAATAGATTCATCTAGCCTTTATAAGTCCATTCAAGTCATCTCTGTTACATGATAAGCCTGAATATACCCAATAGGAGTTAGAATTGTTTGAGTTAGACAAGAGACAATATTATAATAAATCTTCATCCTTGAAATCCACATTGTCCGATGATGATAGTGTAGGAATCTGTGGTAACAATGCTACCATGATTTCTCTTGTTTCTTTTCTGCATGTTAAGGTTGTAAAAGGTTTCAAAACGAGTTTGGATGTCCCAATGTGATTGAAGGAAATTATCTTGATGTACTAAACTTGTAATGAAGAAACTATTCAATCCCCATAAAGTTAATTTCGAGGACACCAGGACCACCATTATTGTTTACTACTGTAGAATATCCATCATCATTCTTCTGTTCTGATTAGGCACTGATACAGGCTTTTAGGCTCCCTAGAAGGTCATACAACACCTTAAGCTTTCAACTATTGTCACTGGACTGCATTACTAGAATGAGCTCAGTCTGTGCTAAAGATATCTTTTCCCTGTAACTTTCTTTGTCACTAATACTTTGAAAATCTATGCAACTCTTTATGCAGGTTGCATTTATCAGTGTCATATATCCATGTCTGATACTGCAATATATGGGGCAGGCAGCATTTCTTTCTAAGAACATATCTGATGTATCTATCAGCTTTTTTGGATCTATACCAGGTGAGTCTTCATCTGATGATGCTGTCATTTAACATTTGCTCAAAGATGAACATTTACATGTGAATTCCTGAATTTTGTTGCAGAACCTGTATTTTGGCCTGTCTTTGTGATCTCCACTCTTGCTGCTATAGTTGCTAGCCAATCTGTCATCTCTGCCACCTTCTCCATCGTGAAGCAATGCCATTCTTTGGGTTGCTTTCCACGTGTCAAAATTGTCCATACATCAAGATGGGTCAATGGGCAGATATATATACCTGAAATAAACTGGATTCTTATGGTTCTTTGTCTTGCGGTCACACTCGGCTTTCGTGACACAACCCTTATAGGAAATGCTTATGGTAAGTCTGTCTAAATTTTCTGCAATATCAGCTTAAATTTTATCTGTTATGAAATTTCATGAGCTTATCTTGCTTGCACATCAGAATCTTACCGATAAATGGTCATCCTTGGAAGTTTTATTGCAACCACAGAAAATCTTTTTCATTTCTGTCAATGTTATTTTTCATGCGTTCTTTTAAGCATGTTAAAACCTATAAATATCGTGTCTTTTTCTAACAGTTTAATCTCTTAGAACTTATGATAACCCAACCAAATATTTCTTTTGCAGTGTTCAATTAAGAAATATTGCAGTTCTCTCTCTCTTTGCCGATGTTTGATTAAGAATATTGCATCTTTCCTGTATTTAACTAAGAAGTATTTATACATATTTATATTGGGTCATTTCATAACAGTTTTAAGATTTTAGGACCTGTGACAACCCAATCAAATATTTATGATGTTTCTCTACCATGATAAAGATTTTTGATTTGGTAACATGATCAATATAATCGCCAATCATCTTGCTAAGCAGGATTGTTGGTTTTGTCCCTTTGTGATTCCAGGTATAGCAAGCATGACCGTGATGTTTGTTACCACTTGGTTAATGACACTAGTGGTCATCTTTGTGTGGCAAAAGAACGTCATATCTGCCCTGTTATTTCTCGTTTTCTTTGGGTTCATTGAGGGTGCCTTCCTTTCGTCTTCGCTCATCAAGGTTCCGCAAGGCGGATGGGTGCCTTTCGTGCTTTCTTTCGTCTTCATGGTGATCATGTACGTCTGGCACTATGGTACTCGCAGCAAATATCTCTTTGACCTACAGAACAAGGTCTCCATGAAATGGATCCTCACACTCGGCCCCAGTCTTGGGATCGTTCGTGTCCCTGGAATTGGGCTCGTTTACACAGAACTAGTTACTGGTGTTCCTGCTATCTTCTCCCATTTTGTGACTAACCTCCCTGCTTTCCACCAAGTTCTTGTCTTTGTCTGTGTGAAGTCAGTGCCAGTCCCTCATGTTGCACCGGATGAGCGGTTCCTCGTCGGACGGATCGGTCCCCGAGCCTACAGAATGTACAGATGCATCATAAGATATGGGTACAAAGATGTGCAGAAAGATGAAGACAACTTTGAGAACCAACTGGTGTTGAGCATTGCCAAGTTCATCCAGATGGAATCATCATCCTCTGGGAGTTGTGACACTTCTCCGGAAGGAAGAATGGCTGTCACACGAGCTAATGATACTTCTGGCACCAGCTTGGTGATGAGGGATGCTGATGAGACTGAGGTTAACTGTAACTCTACTTTCACCAGGAGCAGCAAGTCTGAAACCCTACAAAGCTTGCAGTCAATACATGAACAGGAATGGACCTCCGTCGGCAGTCCGCGGCGGCGAATCCGGTTAGAGTTGTCCGAGGAGGAAAACATGGAGTCCGAGGTAAAAGAGGAATTGATGGCATTACTGGAAGCTAAGCAAGCAGGGGTCGCGTACATAATGGGCCATTCTTATGTGAAAGCCAGGAAGACATCACCTTTCTTGAAGAAGGTTGCCATTGATGTTGCCTATTCTTTCCTCCGTAAGAATTGCAGGGGGCCTGCGGTGGCTTTGAACATCCCTCACATAAGCCTCATCGAAGTGGGCATGATCTACTATGTATAGTAACTTCTCCATTCTCATGCATGACAGGTATGTTCTCAACGTAAAATTAAGTGTTGTTTTCATGCAACCTTTTAAGTATCAAACGTTGATTACATATTTCTGGGTTGAATTGGTATCCATGTGAAACTAAATACTGATCTTTTGTCAATATGTTAAGTATCAATTTATGAAGTCCTAACTATTTGAGGTTGATGACGATCTTTTATCGTCACCAAGATCTATAAAAAAAATTATGTTTAATTAAAATAAAAATATTTAAATATTTATTTATAAATTTTATAAATTTTTTTAGATTATCCTTTTATCTTTTTTGAATCATTAATAATCATTCATAATTTTTAACAATCTTATTTCTAAATCTCTTAAGCACATATCTATATCATCTTAATAGCTCCATACATCAGCCTCAACCTTCTTATCCTACCATGTTCCAACAGGATTCCACCAAATCTCAAGTAAAAGGCAGAGTTACCTGTATGAGACGTTTATGATCTGTTTGAGAAGCCAAATCAAAAGAGATGAATAGAGACAGATGGAAAGTGCGAGTCAAATAAATTTGCATTAAGTGGTGACGGCTCACTCTTCACGGATCAATCTACTCTAGCTTTATTTATGTATGTTGGGTCCCTCAATTTTGTTCTCGAGATGCAGCTCGAGACCACGACGATAGGTTACATGAACACGACAAAACTAGTGACATCACTCAGTCCTTTAACAATAGCTGTTACTACTATGCACAAGCTGAGAGGAGTTTGATTGAGGCCTGACAGACTTCGCTTTTGTTGATAACTATCGGACATACTCTTGCACCTCTAAATCCTCCATCCTCAATTGCATTGCAGGAACTCAATAATGCAGTAATAAATAGAAGCGAGGCGATAATACCTTTTCGGCGATTGCTGCAGAATCTCTGTCCACGCAGTATCTGTTTCGATTGGCAAATCAAGTACTTGAGACATGTTTGAGTTATACAGAAAGCTCGGTTAAGGCCATACAGTCATCAAGTATACAACAAAACCAGGTCTCTTACAATCCTAGTTTGCAGAGAAAATAAATGCTGTTGCTATTTGGGAGTAGTAGTAGTAGTAGTAGGGCAGCCATTGAGTTCTAGTGGTCGCTATTACCGACAATTTAGATTCATTTATATCATCTAAAAGTTCCTACCTAACTGAAGAGCATGGTGGAAGAGATCTATTGTCCGGAAGCAGCTTTTGACAGTTGAGGCAGGCCATCAATCATGCTCAACTGTCTCCTGAGCTTTCCTACGTGGCCCTGTACCTGTAACCGTGATAACAGACTCGCATAAGTGATGATTCCAAGGAAGAGAAACCGATTAGCCTATCCTAATTACCTGGATTTGACTCAATCAGACACCAACCAAATGACTTCTTTTTTGTTCTTTTCAACCAAATGATTCACAATGGATCTTTAAGACATATTCACTCAGTATTCATCTAAAAATAACAAAAAGAATTGTACCGTATCAATTATTATTGACCCGTACCAACACGTGCCACGAGAGCATATCAGTATCATACTAATCCATCTGAACACTGGTACAATTACCAGATCCAAATTTTAATCCTTGCTTCAGAAAAGTATGTACTTTCTAATCGTGAAGGCATTTATACTCTTGAAAATCATAAATAAGATCATGTATTAATAACAAGTACATAAGCCCTTCTTCAAAATGCCTGCCTTCATGAAAAACTATTTTAAGCTAACACGGACATTCAATGTCAAAATAATGGATGGAAGAGTGAACTATGCAAAGATGAATAATGAGGGGCTTTATTCTCACATATTGACGAGCAGCTGCAAGTTTCAATAGCTCGTCTGCCTCTGAGAAGTTCATAAACCACTGATTTAGTGGATGGTCCTTGGTATCACCTCTTTTCTTCTCATTGATATTATTAACAGGACCTACAGAAAAAAGTGGTAACTTTGAAACCATAAATAGCATGACAAAGAAGGCCAAAGAACAGAATGAAACTATACCAGGAGGTGGCAAGTTTAAGCCAGAAGGTAGCCTTGGAACAATTGCAGCAGGATGATTCTGGACCCGTGCAAACAACGCTTCTGTAGGCTCAGAGAAAACAATTTCATCATATATCTCCACAACGACGGGTTTTTTGATTGACTGGGGTCCATTTTCATCCTCAGGAAACAATTTTAGCTGGTGATATCTGTAAACAATTATTACATGTCATTTACTTAGCAGGCTAGACATAAAAATAAATGTTTCTGCAAGGACTTACAGGTCCAGTTGTTTGTCACATACATCACTGTGGAAGAAGAGTCTAATAGCTATTTCAAATTCACCCCATCCAGACTCTGAAAGTTCAAAAGGTGCTGATTCTACAACCCTAGTTGGATTGTTGAAACTAGGGTGCAGTTGAAATACAGCACGCTTAACTATGACACCCAAATCCTCATTTGTTGCCCCACGAACATAAACAGTCCATTTGTGTGAATTGTACCTACAAGATCCAATAGAGTTAACTTTAGATGTTATGAAACTCAGATGCAACATGGCATATTTATCATGTATAATGATGAATTTCCTAGAAGACAAGCTGCAGCAGAAGCAACAGCTAAAAGAAAAGAAATTATTATGAGTACAAAAAAGACTTACTCGCTTGCCTTTTTACCAAGCCAAAATGCTATAGTTCCATAGACAATTGGAAAGCTAATTTCCACATCTTTTAGCCTTCTGGTCTGAGCTTGCAGAAAAGCACAACCAAGATAATCAAGTCAATATTAAAAAACTGCATACTCAAGTCATCACAGCAGATAAGAGTACAGCAGAAGTTACATGATTAGTGTTGTATGGTTGTAGAGACCGGAAAAGTTCTTAATTTGTCATTCAGGTTTCTTGGGTCAACTTTTTTTCTGTGCAAGATAAATCTAATCATCTACCTCCATTTTCTAAAGCATAATTGGTCCAAATTTCGCTTCATTTAGCATGTTAACCAGTTCATGCCTTGAAATAATTCAGCAGTCTCATCACTGGCTATTAAAATAACTGAGAAGATTGAGAAAATGCATATTGATAAAGCAGAAAAATGGCTTCTAAGAAAAGATAAACAAAGGATGAATATATCTTTTTGTTTAAATCGATAAGAATGACAAAGCCACCCTCAAATCTCAATCATAAAATTCATGGACCAGAGCTACAGAGGTTGTTTTCGTGTATGATAAGTCGATAACATGCCTATAATCCCAAAGATGTAAAGACCATTATGTAAGGTTCCAACGAAGGGGGATCCTCATTGGTCTTGATAGTACCCTCCCAATTATATTTATGTTTTTCTTTTCATTTTAGTGACATTTAAGCTATTTTCTTTGTCACCTTGATCCTGCCAATCTGATCCAATCAATCCTGATGATCTTAATTGAATCATCCTAAGGCTATTCTGATACTAATACTGATCTTTCAAACTATATGGATAAAGCTAATAGAAACATGAAGTGTGAAAAATCAAGAAGGCCTAATTCAACATTTGTAATGGTGAATTATTGATTAAGATAATAGTAATATTTACATTGATATATGATCTTAAAATTGAATCTTAATTATGATTTTGGACATTACCAATCCTACATATAGAAATCATTACAAGGCCCCACACCATGATTTGGATTATTGTTATTCTCTCTTTGGATTGAGAAAGTTTCTTAGTTTATAGTAATCCTAATCGATAGCTATCTGAGGGTACTATTCCTCCTTGAACAGAGGTAGTACTTGTTAGATGTGTAATTTTAACAAATCTAGGTTTCTGGTCCATACAAAAGGACACATTCATGATTATTCACTGTCTACTTCATATTTATATCTCACCAGTACTACAACTCACAAAAACCAACATGAAGAACCATGATTTACACCAGGGTTCTCAATTTCAATGTGTACCATCCAATACGGACAGTACATATTAGTCCGAGAGGATATCAATACGCGGACCGTCCTCTACCGAGCAGTAACAATGTTTGGGCCCTGTATCGAGTGATATGGGATCTGTACCGAGCCGTACTGGTCAAAATATGACTGTTACTGATACCTCAGATTTTGATCTTTACCGAGGTGTACCAGTTGGTGTGCAGCCCGGAATTCGATCGAGGCATACCAATCGATACGGCCCGGTACTTTTCGACCATTACCTTCAAATATTTTTGGAGGTTTTTTAGTTCTTTTCGGGTGTATTGTCGGTAAACCTCGGTACATACCTACCGAACAGGGCTCTGTGAACCGGTATGGACCGAAGTTGATAACCTTGATTTTTACACTATGCCAAGACACTCACAGATCTCGCCATGATGACGCACTCATGAACATAGACGAGAAGAACAAGGAGTGCAAATAAAGATACTAAACAACTCCTTTAAACGATAGAGTGCAAATCAAGGAGCGTCAACGAAGATCCTTCCAAAACCATTCAAACACATGCAGGCAAGATAGGAAGAAAGAACACAAAAATAAAACAACTCTATAGACTCCAGATCAACGGATTAGCACGACATTGAGACATTCAATCATAATCGGAAGGGAAATGAAGACAACTTGGAATGAAGCAGACCATTTTTTGTTTTCCCTCGATCTTCCGCGGATTTCAGCCTTTCTCCTCCGTGAAGCGTCAGAGAGACCCTCTGATTCACGACGAAGGAGCGAAGGGCGAGAAGGAAACCCTCGCGAACGGACCACCGTCTTTGTAGGGAGAAAGGCGACGGAAGGGAGAGATCGGGAAGAGGGTTGGGCGAAGATAGTTGACAATAACGATCGACGGGTCGAGGGCTTCGAGGAATTGAACGGGTGGCACTCTCCGTCCGGTGTGGCATCTTATAGGTACGTCGATGGTTCGGTTCGTTTGGGTTCGCTTGGGTTGAGAGACGGTCTATTAGAGGTGGTTCCGAACCGTAGCGAGAGATGGATACGTGAACAAGCATTTGCATAGTATTCTCCATTAATTGTACACTTAAAAGCTGATAATGTGTTTTTACATTGTTTTTAGCATGCATAACAACTTAATTGCACTCGAAGATTTGATCATGTGAATTATTTATTAGATAACTTGCTTGATCAAGACTCGTTTGTCAGTTTTAGGATCTGATTTTTTAGATAATTTTTTATAAAAAAAATTAATTATTTTGTCCTTGCTATAATAATAAAATGAAGTGATTTTATTTTTCTTTAAAAAAATCAATTGCAAGCATTTGGTTGCATGCAATTAAATTACTTGTGACATCAATACACGAAGCAAATTGGCTCCTAATTTCTCCGGTTTTGATTTTTCGATTCACTCCAACAGTCTTTTATTCATTTAAACAGTGATATATATATATATATATTCTTTTGAGAAAAAAAATAGAAACATATCGTTCCACAATCATACTCCACTATCATAAGTTTAAGAGTAATTCATAATCTTTAGAGCTAATTATATATTATCCCTTGTAGTTAGGTCTCCTTAACCTCTCAATCCTAGATTTAAAAAATTATATTAAAATTTTTATAGTTATGAAAATAAAATATCTGACTCAATTTCTCGATAGCGTTCATTTCCCCTAACACTATCGATTTTATCGACGGAAGTATAAAAAATAATTTTAATATTTTAATTATATTTTCGATGATGGTGGATGATGACATCACTAGGGGTTACGATAATTGCGTCAGCGTGAATAAAGATACAGAGCGGTGAAAGGATGGTAGTCTACTATGAGCTGAACAAGGCCTTTATTGGGATTGCAACGCATCCCTCCATAGTGCCAACTTTCTCATGGCTTGTCATGTCAGCCTGGTCACCTGTGTCACTTGCCACTTCCTCAATGTTGGTTGCTGCATCTCCAATATAGGTTTGTGATAGGTTTACCCCTTCTATGCTTCTTGTGATCCTAATCCTATTGCCTCTCTTTCGCACTCAGTGGTCTCCTCGTCCTTTAGCTCTTGTCCACTTTTGAGTCCACGATGGCGTGAGGTGGTTGAGAAGAGAGTAGAGGTCGTCCTATTAGGCTAGAATCGAAGGATGGGGTTGTAGAGTGAACGAGATGCATGGAAGCGACGACCTACGTGGTTGGCCTACACTAAGAATCAACTGCACCCCTACCACTACGAGTGTCCCTCGTAACCACTTTGTGGTTTGCCATCAAGCTCCGAGAGTATGATGCGATTGCAGAAAGGGATAGTCGGGCGACGCTTCGCCAATTGGAGGTGTGCTCTGGAGTGCTTATGAAGCTAATTATTATTGTCGTGTCGTGGATCACCCAGGTTGTCGAGTGCAAATTCATAGTGGCAAGGTTGTCACTTCCATGCATTATTATCCACTCAACAACCCCATCCTCTGGCTCTAACCTAGTAGGATGGCCTCCACCCTCTCCTTAACCACCTTGCGCCATTGTTTCGTGATCGTCCACTGAGGATCTTTGGGCTTCATCGTTTAAGGTAACGTCATGGACTCGAAGGTAGAGAGACAAGAGCTAGAGGACGAAGAGGTCACATAGTGCAAAGGAGAGGCAGCAAGATCATGATCGCAAGAAGCATAGAAGGGATAGACTCGTTCTAGACTTGCACAGAAGACGTAACAACTATCATCAAGAGAGTGGTAAGCACACAGGTGACCTGGTAGACGTAACGAGCCACAAAGAAGTTGGCGTTGTGGATGGATACATCGCAGACCCAACAAATTAAGGCCACATCGGACTCATAGTAGACCATCGCCCTTCGCCACTCTGCATCAGCATCAAGGTCTCTTTGCATCTACGTCGACACCGGCATAGTTGTTGTGGCCCCCCAATGATGTTATCGTCTACTATTACCAAAAACGTAATTGAAACGTTGAAATTATATTTTTTTCTCATCGTTTTTGTGCTCCGTCGATCAAACCGACGACATTATAATAAATGAAGATAGATATTTCATTTTTATAACTATAGGAATTTAATATAAATTTTTTAAGTTTAAAAATAAAAATACTAAAAAGATCGATAATTAACCTCAATCTTTTAACTAGTTGTCCAAATGTCATCCCATAATCCATGACATAATTTTGGCATGCTTGATATTAAATCAATATTAAATAATAAGCACTCTCGATGTTCTATCTAGTCTTTTATATTGTGGCTACAAATCTGAGTTAAAATTCCGATTTTTCTCTGCTCTTAGAAAAGCAGAAATGGCCAGCCAATCTTGAAGCCGCTCATTAATAAAACAACTTGCAGCAACACAGGAATATGTACTACGCATGAGCCAGCCAGTGCAGAATCTCGAAAGAATTAATCCTCGCAAACTAACAGGTTATTTCATATGACATGGGTCCTGATCACTCATATCACAAGGACCATTCTTACTTTGCTGTCAAGGCTCCACTCCGAAGACGTGATGCTGCATATTCGGCAAAATAACTGCAAGAGATGCAATATCTGATGATCATGTCTTATCACCTATTATGCTTTGACACTATTGCCAAAAAAGAACAACATATTTCGCTACATATTTTACATAAAATTTCTTTTCAGAAAAAACAATGGTGAGGAACAACCCCATCCTGTTCTTGCCACAAAAAGAAAAAGGCTATAGAAGGCACAATAATATACACCTATGCTACAACCGTTACAACATTAAATTAAAGGCTAGAACCATTCGGCCGTGCAAATGGGATACAGTCCTGCTTCTGTTGCAACTATGGAATTGGCTTGCAATTCCTTCTGAACTTTTCGCCTCTCATAAAAGACTGAACATGCGAGAGAATTGCACTGCACTCCACTTCCTGGGTTGTAATCACCACCACCACAATGCCTGCATATCTACAAAAGCAAAGAATGGCAATTAGTTCTAACAGAATAGCACAAAAATCTGCTAATGAATATTAGTAACATTTACAGTCAATTATCACATGATACACAACTGAAAATTACATAAAACAATATATCAAAAAGGTCCCAGCATCGTAAAATGAATACATGAACAATAATAATGAGGATTTTTGCACATCTCTGCGGTTTGATGGCTACAGCCAGTAGTCTTATTTTACCAAGCCAGATGCACAATTCATTTCATCCACTCAAGCGAATCGTGATTTTGAAATAAAAGATTCAAAGGCAACAAAAGTTTAGAGGAAACTTACAGCAACTAAATGTTGAATGTCTCTTTCCAATCTTGAAGTTTTACTGACTAGAGCTGTTGCAACAAATGGTTTCTTTTCGGAGCATACATCACATAGAAATTTTGATCTCTGGACCAAGTAACCACAAAGGATACAATGTTTTGAGGAGTAATAGGTATCTATTCTACTTCTTTTCACCTGTGCTTTCCTAGATGTTCCTGGTCCATTGTAATCAAAATCATGTGAAGACCCAAATTGAGAGGCATAAAAGCGAGCCAATATTGGTCTGACAGGACGAGGCACTTCCAAAAACCACTGGTTCAGGTCAGCACGAAGAAGTCCAAGTACTCGCTGCAGTGCAGGAATGATCTGTTTCTTGATATAATAATGATCATTCAACCTATATGGAGAATTGACTTCAAGAAGATCACGTGGATCAACAACCATGTCCATAAGACGAGCTCCAGGTTCTCCATAAACTACAACATATGGCACACGCTCTCCATAGCGTGGCTCTGCTCGGGGATCTGCATTCATTGCTTTGATAGCAACAATTGCTGCTGGTGGAAGGGAAGACATTCGAGTACTGTAGCTACCCAGGTGTACCTCCTTAGCAAAAACAAAGTCCTGGAGAGACACCCTTCCAGATAATATTCGGGTCCATTGACGCTGCAGATAGGATTTGACCTTACACAATAAATGGCTTTTAAAATTAGATATGGTACCAAATTTGGAGGCATTAGATCTATGCATAGAGTTAAAGAGCCATAAAAAGTTAAATTAGAAATCTTACTCTTGATATATCTCGATGCTCAAAAATCAATCTTATAGACTTCTCCAGTGTCTTTGCAACAGCTGGGCATGTGTCTCTCCGCACGGTTTCTATACCTTTTGCATCAAATTTTGGTATTGCCTGATCAGGACTTTCATAGCTATAACCAACATACCGCTTCTTGGTGAGAAGAAAACAAGGCTGATAAACCTTTTCCAATTTCAAAGTCACTGGATCTGGGTTCATCGAAGTTACTGCAGATGCAATTTCATTTCCTATTCTAAATGCTGCTTCCAAATTGCGCCCTTTTAGGAGAACAAACATGCTAGATAGAAGAAATGATTGGAAAAAAGTTAGAATTACAGAAATTGGGCTAAAGTGGGAGAGAAAAGCGATGTCCTTGCATATACCTATCCGTATCACCATAGACAACTCTGGCTTTCCACCTAGGGTGCTCATTTACAAATGAGATAGCTGCTTCAAGTGTTCTACGACCACACTGTACAATGCTATCAGCTAGCTCTGCACAAGGCATACGACCACTAAATCCAGCAGCTGTGTAGCCATAAGTAACATTTGCTATCAGCTTTAGAGCAAGTTGCCTTGCATTATAAATCTGCGGATAAGACACAGCTAAAATTATTTTAAGAACTAGAAGACTAAAATAACTTGATCATAATATGTGATTTGGCATTAGACATTACACAAAATGAAGTTGTCAAACTGATCAAATCTGGAAAAACATCAGTTGAGGAAAGAAATGGTGATTTTAACATGAAAATCCTGTAGTCTTGCAGAATACCAAACTAAAGCAACAAAAGATTTGGATGAGGTGCAGTACTTGAACAAATGCTTGAAATTAGAATAGTGCAGTAGGAATCTACAGTGCTCATCCATTCATCTAAAATCTATAGTGTCCACGCAC